TGGTCTTGTTTGTAAACATTTGGGTAAATGCTCCAAAGTGGGATTGCTGGGTCATAGGGGAGGTCTATGTGGAGTCTTTAGAGGAACCTCCATACTACTTTCTAAAGTCAACCACCTGTTCTATAGGGGAGGAAATGGGAAATAAGAGGATTCACCAGATATATCATCCTGTATCTTCTAACAAGCATGGGATCCATAGTTGGATCACCAAAGACAATATTGTGGGAAGTAGTATTGCAGATGTACATTAAAAATAGTTGCTTCACTTGATACATCCAAATGAGCTCTTCTCAAATAATTTATACCCATTGCTTTTCTGTCATCAAGTTATAATAGGAGGGAAATAGAGTATAATTTCTGGTAATAGTGAGCTTAAGTAACATGATGAAGATGTCCATTTCTTGATAGATCACTGCTCATAATTATACCATTTTCACATTATGTTTAGAAGAGCTTATTTGAAAGCTCAGTGGACGTTATTGCTATTCTGTTAGCTTATCTGTTAAACACTTTCATTAATTTTGGGAAGTATGGTTTTCAGTGTGTCCTGAAGTTTGGTGGAAAGAAATCATTGATAGGTTGCCTGTTCATTATTTCTTAAACACATGAAGTTTTTCAACAAATACAGAAAAATTGATGAAGTACATTTTTTTTTCTCTTTGGTGAATCATGGGGCTTGAACTCAGGGCCTGAGCACTGTCCCTAAGCTCTTTTGATCAAGGCTAGTACTCCACCTTTACTTTTGGTTTTCTGGTAGTTAACTGGAGATAAGAGTCATGGACTTCCTGCAGTCATTAGATCTCAGCCTCCTGAGTAGGTAGCTAGGATTTACAGGCATGAGCCACCAGTGCCCAACTACAATGTATATTTTAATGCACATACCCATTGTGACATAATCACATCAGGATATTTAGCATGACCATAATGTCAAATATTATTCTTTGTTTTAGCATTAAAAATCTCTTTAGAGGCTGGGAAGTTGGCTCAGTGGTAGAGCACTTGCCTTGCATGCATGAAGCCCTGGGTTCAATTCCTCAGCACCACATAAGCAAAAAGAAAAGAAGCTGGAAGTGGTGCTGTGGCTCAAGTGGTAGAGTGCTAGCCTTGAGCTAAGGAGCTAAGGGACAGCACCCAGGTCCAGAGTTTAGGCCCCATGACCAGACCACCCCCCCAAAAAAAATTTAAAACTTAATTCATGTTTTCCCTGAGAAGAAACTAGCCCATGGAATAATTTCTGAATACTCACTTTGGATTATTTATTAAAGACAAAAGTCTCAAAGTTATTATCAACCCATATTCTTCAAATATATGAAGTTTTGTTTAGGGTCATCTTTTCATAGCAGCAGTAATGGGGGCAGGAAATGAAGGGATCTACTTGAGATTGCAGAGAACTAGGACCTTAGGCCTTATCATCTGATGGTGTGTGTGTGTGTGTGTGTGTGTGTGTGTGTGTGTGTGAATGTGTGTGTACACTGAGGCTTGGATGCTTGAACTCTGTGCCTCATGTTCTTGCTTAGCTTTTTAACAAGGTTGATACTCTACCACTTGAGCCACTCATCTCCACTTCCTTTCTTGGCTGGTTAATTGGAGATAAAACTTTTTCCAGATTTGTCTGCTCAGGCTGGCTTCAAACCACCATCCTCATTTCAGCCTCCTGAATAGTTAGCATTACAGATGTGAGCCACCAGCCACTGAGACGCTTGAAGTTTTAAAGTCACGGTAGTACACAGGATCTATTGCTACTTAAATACTCTGCTTTTCCATTAATAATTATCATTGTTGGTTGTCATCATCATCATCATCATCATCAAAGGCCAATTGAATTTTAGTAAACTTTCCTCTGACAGAAGGTACAAGATGATCAGGTCAGTAATTTACTTTTGGTTAGTCTCTAAAAATGGTCATAATTTCTAGAACACACCTGTCAGTGTGTGTGGTGTTTTAGAATTCACATGTCTGCATTCACTTATGAATCTATTACAGAGCTACCAGGCAGCAGGCCATTTTGCAGATTCTGATTATGTAGCAATGAACAATACCAACCCCAAACCCTTGCCTTCCCATAGTCAACAAATACTTTCATGGTGGCAATAAGAATAATGGAGGTAAAAAACCAGAAAAGGGGGACAGAGAATGCCAGTGGGCTTGGCATTTCCACCAGGATGGTTAGATGTATGTCCCAAGGGAAAAATGTTCATCAAAGGGAAGTGAAAGAAGACAGGCCCTTCTATAAATCCACAAGAAGCTGGGGACCCTTGTGGCTGGTGTGGACTGAACAAAAGCAACAAAAGGAAGAGATGTGTGTCAAAGCGAGGCTGTGAGTGGAAGTGGGAGAAGACCATCTAGGACCTTGTAGGCACTGTGGTTTTGGTTTTTATTTGGCTAGAAAGGAATTGGTAGTTTTTGAGTAGAACAGTCTCTCTATCCTACCCAGGTTTCAGGAGATGACTGGTGTAAAGGCGGGGAAGTGAGGAGCAGCACAGGCAGGTGGGTTGGGAGGCAGTATGGAGGTGGCAATGTGGACTGGCTGGACATGGATAGAATTTGAAGGCAAAACTGAGAGGGTGTGCGCTGTGTTTGAATGAGTCCACCAGGTGCCGATGGCTCACACCTGTAAACCTAGCTACTCAGGCTGAGATCTGAGGAGCAGGGTTAGAAGCCAGCTTGGGTAGACAAATCCAAGAGACTCTTATCTCCAATTGACCAGAAGAAAGCCACAAATAGAGATATGGATCATTGGTAGGATCAGAGAGTCAAGCAAAAAAGCAAAAGGTATTAGTTCAAGCTCTTGTACTCGCATGTGAATGACTTTAAGTGTTTGGGCATGAGCAGCTGAGTGGTACATATGCTTGGGAAGTGGTGTGTGGTTTTTTTTTTTTTTTCTTGGAAAATACCGCACAGAGGGGTTACAATTACATGGGCAAGGTAATAAGTACATTTCTTATCAAGCATTGTTGCCTCCTCCTTTGCTTCCCCTTCTCATCCCTTTCCCATCTCCCCACCTTCCCACTCCCTCCCCCAAAGTTGTAAAGTTTGTTTTTGGACATAATGTCTTATACATCTCATGGTATCCCTTATTTGCAATAACTAGTATATGCTTGAGACAAGCAGAAATGGTCAGATAAGTTGATGCTAGGCGAAATGAACCCCAAGATAAGGACGCAAATGTTTTTTTTTCTTTCTTGCAATTGTTTCTACATATTTATAAGATGACTTCTTTGTTGCTTTGTATGTCCCTCCCCCACGGTATAACCCCTGTTTTCACTGTATTTGGTATAATTTGTGGAGGGGAAGGGAAAAAACAAATTGTTTAAACAGGGATACAGGTAGACCCATTGCAACAATGTGGTGTGTGGTTTTCTATGGGTCCTTGTAAGAAGGTTAATTTTGTATATTTATTTTTGGTATCATTTATGTGTGTAAAGAAACATGGTATTTGGAGACTGAATACTTAATGTCACTGTATCCTCCTCCTTTCAAAGCTGTTAGTGGAATTTGTAAGCAAACGGGTGTGTTTTCCTTTAAGTGTGAAAACTTGTTAGGGCTGAATGATCACCACATTGAAAATTTCTTGTGTTCTATATATGGGGGCTTATAGGATGTGGCGTTTGTTTCAGACAGTTGAATTCCATTTGGTTGTAAATAGAAGAAGAAGACCTATTTGCAAGAGGAATGAAATTTACTTTCCTTTGGGGAGAAAATGAAGGTGGGAGATGGGTGAAAAGTTCTAGTTGTTAGTGGGGGTGATGAGGCAGATTTATATATACATATATATGCAGTAGAGGTTATAGGAAAGGGAAACTGAGGCAAATTCTCACCAATCAGTAAGAAGTATAAACTTTGTCTTCCATCAGTGACGCTCTAATAAGCCCTTTGCTTCTCTTTCTCTTCCTTTGGCCATATTATCTCTATATACTAGACTGTTTTCTTTCTTTCTTTTTTTGTGGTGGTTTTTGGGGTTTCAACTCAGGGACTCTTGACTAGCTAGGCTCCAAGCCCTTTTCACCTTAATTATTTTTTGGATAGTGTCTTGTGCTTCGGCTTGGGGCTAGTCTCAGATTGCTACCTCTTGCACAGCCGTGATTGCAGGTATATCTCACCACATGGAGCTTATTTGTTGCAATACTGTCTCCCTTTTTTCCATGGGCAGTCCTTGAACCACAGATTCTGCTGATCTTCAGCTCCTGAGCAGCTGGGAATGACATATGTGAGACACTACATCTGGTCTAAATTTTCTAAAGAAAGCTCTCATAAAATTAAGGGCTGACCTTTGGTGATTTGGCCAGAGATTTCATTGTGTATACGTAAGATTTGTAGTTCTTACACTCTAATTCAAGGGTACTTTACAGAATTTTATTCTTGTCTATTGATCCCCTTCTTGTCTTTGAAGAAGGTATCAACTGTTCAACTGGGTTAGTCTTCTAATATTGCGAATGCAATGCTCTATTTAAGCTTTTCTTCCAAATTCACTCCCAAACTCTGCCTAATTGGGTATTTTTGCTTTGGCTTAGTTTTTTTTTTTTTGAGTTCCCTATATATTCTTGGATGAAGAATTTATAAATATTTTCTTCCACTCTGTAGGTTGACTATTTCTTTTGTTAACATAATTGCATTTGTCCTATTTTTCTTTTGTTGCCTGGGTTTTTATGTTATTGCTCAAAAAAAAAAATCATGCCCAGACAAATGTTATCAAGTGTTTTTTCCTAGTAGTTTTTATACTTTTTTCGATTTACATTTAAGTCTTTATTTCATTTTGAATTTATTTTTTTCATGTAAAACATGTTTGAACATAGCTAGTTTCTTTGTGACAGTGAAAATCTAGCTGTGGAGTTGAGCAAAAAGACAAAATATTTTGAAATATGATCTCTACTATACTACATGAGCTTGACTGTACTTCTCTTCATGAATGTTTTGCAAGAACAGAACTGAAGTCATCAATGTAATAGCAGGGAAAAAATAAACAATATAATGGAAACAGGAGAAAAATTTGAGCCAGCTTATTGAAGTGTCACTCTATATATTTTATTTCCACCAGTTATAGTCTCCATCCTTTCTAAGACCAATATATTGTCTTCTTTTGCAATCATCATTGGACTTTGTAATATAATTTTATATCATATATTATGAACATTTGTGACCATAAGAAATTTCTTGAAACTACTTCTACTTGTGATCAAATTGAAGTATACATTTTGCTAGTACGATCGAATTGGTATCACCTTATAGATTTATATAGTTTGTCCTGCAGAGTGAAAATTCTAACACTGTCATACCTCATTGTAATTTTCCTTTAAAAAAAGGGAGAAGCAAATATCCATGTAAACAATATACTGTGAGATGTGAAATTTGATTGGTAACTCCTAAGTATCAACTCAAATATACAAAAGTTAAAAGACTATCCCACACACTCATGTTATATATCAAGAAACCTACGGAGACAATGTGGTGAAAGGCAACATTTGCTGGAAGGCCACTGTGGCTAACTCTAAGTTGCTGGAGTTAATACTGCAGCCACTGTCAATTTCCTGGATGTCTTGAGGTTAGAAGTTGATTCTGTCTTGGTAAACATCAAGTAATTCAACTCTCTCTAGATGACTGAACAGCTAGATTCTTAGCCGCTTCTTTCAAATGGCTTCTTTGGGTCAGGTTACTTCATTGCCAGGTCAGTGAAGGCTTCTGAGACCTCTGTGTCGACCTCTGTGGAAATGCTTGGTTGTGTGACATTGAGATAAATGTCATACTGTTGGTCCAGGCCAATATAGCAGTCACTCATGAGATACAGAGTGAAGATATACCTAAAATGTAAAAAAAAAGAGCACATGTAAAACTCTCCTGGCTTTTTTTTTTTAAATGGTAGTGTTGGTATTTAAACTTAAAGGCCTTGTGCTTGCTAGGCAGGTGCTTTACGTCTTGAATTGTGCCCCTCACCCCTTTTTGCTTTATAAGTTTTATGTGAGAATCTGCTTACCTTCCAGGTATTTCAGGGGTATAAAAAGAAATGGAAATATCCTGGTGACTTCGAACATATCCTATTCGCTTTAAAGCAATAAGCTCTCTCTTATCCACTTCTCCTAGTATCAAAAACCATCCTTCATCTTTTGATTTGGGAAATCGAGGGGCAACTGCGTAGCTCTCCTGCTTTCCCTATAAACCAGAAAAAAAGATAATATATTTATAATGTTGATACTGTCTAAACCCCTTAATTATAATTAAAAGGCTTTGTTGTTTTTATTTAAAGTCCATAAATCTACACAATTTAGGCATATCTAAATGGGATGATTTGAAGTACCAGGGTGTGAACTCAGGGCTTCATGATTACTAGGCACACATTCTACTGTTGAGCCATGACATTAGTCTTATTTTGCTCTGGCTATTTTTGAGATAGCATGCCTGGATTGTAATCTGCCAATTTACCACTTCACAAAGCTAGGTTAACAGGTGTATATTGATGTGTGTAATTCCCCCCCCTGGCTTGCCTTGCACTGTGACCCACTATATCTCAGATTCCCAAGTAGCCTGCATTACAGGCATGAATCACTGGTCCCTGGCTATGACTTAAATCTTTCTTTCTGGTTAGGTGTCTTGGATATGACATTACCGATCTTTCTTTATGGATTTTCATAGTATATATAAATGCTTCTTTGTGGCTACACCTACTAGAATATCTGGCTCAGAATAGAAAGCCATTATTATTATTATTATTATTGTTATTAGGGCCTGTGTGCTGTCCATGAGCTCAAGGATAGTGCTCTACCACTTTGAACCACAGCTCGACCTCCATTTCTTGATTGGTTAATTGGACATAAACGTCTCACAGGGACCTTTCCTGCTCAGGCTGGCTTCAAACCTTCTGAGTAACTAGGATTACAGATCCAAGCCACTAGTACCTGCCTGGCAGAAGCTCCAATTCTTGCTATCAATTAATAAATTATCAAGCCATTCCTACAATTAACATTCTACCTTTGGATGATGACTGGGATAAAAATCATATTCACCAAATCTTCCTAAGTTTTATTTACTAATAACTGTTTATAAGTTCCTAATGCTTAGGAAAACAAACAGACAAAAGGTAATCAAAATTATGCTTTGGACCAAGTTAATGAGCACTATTATCATATAAATAATATATCCCCTGGCCCCTGAATAAAGCCCACATAAAGAAATATAGATTTTAATATGGCATCTAAGATATCTTACAAGTTCAAGCTTAGATAGAAACATAATGATGATACTTTAAGTAATTATTTTGGATAAATTTTTACAAAAGCAAGATCATTATAGTGATTCTTTAAGACAATGGCTTTGTGGCATATGATACATTAATAATGACATGGTTCTTAATCAGATTTCACTTGGTTTCCTAGGGGAGAGATTTCCACTTATAGCATTTTAGAAGAGGGTCAAAGAGTAGTGTATTTTTATAGCAGTCAGAAATAAAATCCACATGTTTTCTAGCATGATTAATAGAACAACAAGGTAAAAAAAGTTTTCCCCCCAGTTTTATCATTACGGTCATTACTATTATTTGTTTATGGACATAATAAATCATATAAAGATGCTCACATCAAAGCCTCTGAACTGCCAGAGGCCAATCAGTTCATAGGTACACTGACTTATTTTTATAAATGGAATGAAGTAGAACTTGCAGGCTTGTTCTAAAGTGACAACAAAATAGCATTCAATTACTGACCCATTCATGGGTGAAAACAGGGGTACTAACAACAAACTACAACCTTACCCAAGAGCTTACTCCAGCCACTAGAAAACTCTGAATTTGCTGGGCGGAAAAGACAGAGTCTTCTTCTTTCATAATTATGGCACTAAAACCAATCTGCCCACTTGATGCTACTATCTTAAAGGAATAAATAATTTTGATGTCAGAAGTACAGAGAAAAGTAATTAAAAAAAAACTATTGTGTATTTTTGGTCTGTATGAAATTGACAAAGCTTGCTCATATGCATTATAATGAAGAAAAGAAGGCAGATGTGGCAACTGAGGCTCAGAAAAGCTTAGCTTCTTAATCAAATGCACAGAGCTAAGCTGGGAAGCTTCAATCTCATTTCCTCTAGTCCACTGTGATTCCTATATTCCCAAGTATCTAAAGGAGGGCTTCTCCAAGCTTAACTTCCTTAAAAATCATGCAGGGCACTGCGATCCCTCAGATCTTGAGTCTCAGGTTCAGTCAATTTGGAGTGTTATCAAAGAATTTGCCTTCTAAAAGGCATCTCAAGAAATTCTGCTGAACCATACTTTGAGACCGTACTCTAGGTGATGTGTTATTATGTAAGGTTCATATTCTGGGATCCAAAATAGCACATGAGGAGAACTGACTACTTTCAAAAGATTGATTCTTGCTGGTTAAGGCCAGTTGAGAAAGCAGGATTCATGAATGACACGGCACATTAATAATATAAAAGCTATGTGTGGTGGTGCATGTTGGCATTTGGTGTGAAATATCTGAGAATGAAAACAAAATACTATACCTTGTGGAACCCAAAGTGGGCTCTCTGTAAGCTGACTTGAAGCACATACTCCTGGTCAGCATGCAATCTGATCCATCTGTTGTCATCTCGTTTGTCTGCAGTCAGAGTGGAGACAGAGAGTTCATGCTGCCCTTCAGCTAAGTCATCCCATGAGCCTTTCACACTTATGCCAACATTTATCACTGGCAGGCGAGACAAGAAATTCCATGCCTGAAAAAAAAAAGTTAGTGTCAGATGCAGAGATCCAAGAAATGTGTGCTGTTCGGAAAAAAATTCAACTTTTTAATTTTGAGATTCTGGATTAATTGCTGATACTTTGTAATTATTTACTCAATTTTACCCCCATGCTGCATTTTTCTAACGTAAGACTACAGGACTACAACCAGGATATTGACACTCATGTAATTTACTCACTTAAGATTTTCCTAGCTTTTCTTTGTGTGTGTGTGTGTGTGTGTGTGTGTGTGTGTGTAAGAAATAGCTAGCTATTAATTGTTGGCTAGTAATGATTTTTTAGGAAAATTTGAAAAAGAATTATCATTTTAATTTATATCTTTTATTGCATACACTTCCTGATGCTGAGTAGCTGTTGACTATAATAAGAGAAATGAAATTAAAAATGTTTAATATTGAATTGTTTTAGAGACATATCTACTCTAGTGTTCATGACTTTTTTTTTTTTTTTTGGTTGGTTGTGGGGCTTGAACTCAGGGTCTGAGCACTGTCCCTGAGCTGCTTTGCTCAAGGCCAGAGCTCTACCACTTGAGCCACAGCACCACTTCCAGCTTTTGAGTGGTTAATTGGAGTTAAGGGTCTCACAGGGACTTTTCTGTTCTGGCTGGCTTTGAACCACGATCCTCAGACCTCAGCCTCTTTAAGTAGCTAGGATTACAGGCGTAAGCCATTGGTACCTGGCTCATGTGACTTTTAAAGTGAGAGCATTATGTGGGAAGGTAAAGGCAATCTGTAAAAAAAAATGAAAAACCAAACCCAATAATTGGGATGCAGTAATTAATGTCAATATCACATACTAACAACTTATAAAAAACTTTTGATTATATTACTATTTTTTTCTGAGAAGAAAACATTTTTATATCTCTATGTCTTCGGGTATCTATGAGCCTAGGGTTCCTTCTAGACACAAATATGTATTTTCAGCATTACCAGGATGACAGTACAAATAAAACTAACACATCAAGAGGGTGGAGAATTTTACCTATTTTATTTGTCCTTTTTACATGGAAAGCCACTTATGAATAATCAGTATTCAAACAGCAAGTGTGCAACAATGCTGAATGAATGAGTAACTCCTAAATCCATGGAAAACATTTAATACAGTAAATTCAAGGTCTTTAGGTAACTGTCACCTTTTTATTATTACATAAAATTATGTGGCAATACTACTATCAATCAAGAAAATTTCTCAATACATTGACTAACTTGTTGGCTGTTATCTTCTATGATAGTTTGAAAATGTATGTGAGTACTTTAATTTTGGTTTTCTGACTCCTTTAATGTAGTCTATATATTTCCGTGTATGTTTTTCTCCAGTTTGCTATAACTTGAAGTGCTGCTGTGTGTATGAAACTGAAATAAAGTATTCCTGATGAACCAAACTATGCCATAGGAATTAAAAATATGTCAATCCAATGCAAAATTGAAATGCAAATCTGAGATCCAAATCTGTAACTTGTCTTGTGAATCTGATACTATGCCTGTAACTAGATTTTGGAACAGTCAACCACATTATATAATTTAAGTCCAGATGAGGCCTAACTCCATCTACAACCAGAAGTTATTAAGTGTAGAAGCTGTGCTTCTAAAACTGCACAAAACTGGAAAAGTGGTCCAGAGGGCCCTAAAATACACAATTTTGCAGAGCATGAGATTTTGTGAAAAAACATGGTAAATTTACCATATGAGTTTCTATTTTTTCTTACTGTTCTATAAGTAGCAATATATTTTCTGTTATTAACAATTCATTGGGATTTCACTTTATATTTATGTGTATGTACACATACATATAATATTTTTAAAGAACTTAATATTGCTATTTTTATGAATGTTTACACACATATATATGTGTATATGTGTATATATATATATGTATACACAACACAAGCTATTTTTAAAGAAACTACTAAGACATTTCAATACCAGCCAAACATATTTATCTGAGGATTAATCTTCATCTATTGAATCAGGCAAGAGCGCTGCCATGCATACAATTATTTAATTAGCAGCCAAATCCTCTGCCAGTCAGCAGCCGTTCCAGGCATACTGATGGGGTAGAAGATGCAAATCTCACAGTCGTACTGCTTTTTCTCATTACTACTGCAATTAGCACTTAAATTGATGCTTTAAACATACTAATTTCAGGAATAATTCAGGATTTGTATGTTACCTGGGATCGCCTCACTGCAGAGCCCACACCAGATTGCTCTGCAAATTGAAGCACTTCTGAGCCAAATAACCATCATCATATCAGACAGAGCCAATTTGCATTTGGTTTTAAAGATAACAGAATGGCAATTTATGCAAATAAATTAAGTAAGTTTACTTCTGAGTTCTCCCTGAACTAATTATAACAATGTTTTAATTTTTCATCACATCTAAAACTTGGCTTAAAAACCAAGGTATTCTATAGGAGAAATCTGTTATTGCTAACTGAAGTCTTATCTGGATTCACAGGTACTGTTTTTATTCATAATTTTAATGGTAATTTAGTTAGAAAAGTAGGCATTTACTATGAATATTTAAATAGTTTTTGTGCCAATTTTGGGTTCAACAGAAACTGAACAATCAGATACTAATGCTTGTTACACTTTTTCCAAGTCAGTTCAAAAATAAGTTTCACTTGGGAAAAAAAAGGAGACCTGGTTAGAAGTGTCCTTAGTATCTTTGTCTGCAAATATTAATATATTAATTATGTTAGAAGTCTTAAATATTTACTTTGACATTGTAAGGTAAAGATCTAGTCAGCCAAATATTTTTGGCATCCTTCATTCATGTGTTTAGCCTTCTCAAATACTGTCTGGATAGATGAGCCATGCTGCCTTTCATAGCATAAATTTAACTTTTATGTAAGTTATATGAGTTTATGTGAAAGAGTATCTTAGAGTCTAGGAGCAATAATGCTTCAAATAAGAAGTGGGTATAAACATATAATTGAGGGGATCATATGAATAAAGAAGAAGTATGTGAAAAGAGGGATAAGAAGACTGGGTGGTACAGCCTTGAGATGGACAACTATATGAGGCCTTGCAAAGACAAGATTGATGGCATTGCACAGAAACACCTTCCAGGAATGCTGCCAATATGAATGCTGACTTTAGTATATTTAGTTCTTAGTCTATGTCAAGCAATTTATATAAAGCAAGTTATGTAATATTTTGCTTAACTTTCACAAGAAGTTCAGACAGATACAGTGTTGTGATGGTCACAATCATGGTTAGAAAATGGCAGAGAAAGAATGTATAGATGATCCTGACTTCAAAAACCATCCCTAACTTAGAAAGCTTTTGGTACAACAATGGTATATAACAGTAATCCCAGCTAAAAGAAAGGGAGAGAAGTGGGTAACAGTTTGAATGCAGTCTAGGCACTAAGTTAGTTTGAAGGCAGTCTAGACACTAAGTTAGTGCGATCCTGTATCTTAGAGAAGCTGGGCATGGTGGTTCACTCTTGTAATCTCAGTTACATGGGAGGCATAAGATCAGAAGATCAGGAAGACTGGTTTCAGGCTAGCCAGAGCACACAGTTTGTGAGATCCAATCTCAACTAGTAACTGGATGTGTGGTCATCCCAGCTACAGTAGCAAGTATAAATAGGAGGATCATAGTACAGGCCGGTCTGGGCAAAACAAAAATGAGAACTTATCCCAAAAAATAATCAGAACAAAAAGGGCCAGAGGTATGGCTCAAATAGCAGAGCATCTGCCAGCAAGCATGAAGGCCTAAATTCAAATCCTAGTACTATCAAAAGTAAAGTAAAATTAAAAGTCTTTAAAATGTGGAAGGGATGGCCTTACCTGCTTTGTTTTTGCAGCCTGCAGCTCCTTCTCTACCATGGAGCTGAATACGTGGTCTTTCCCTCCACAGGCATGGATCAGTTCGGGAAGGCACTCAATGGAGGTTCGGCACTTAGCATGTGGGCCCTTCATGACTGGATTCCATTTCCTATGAAATAATATCAACAAAAGAATTCCTTCATAGCATAAATATGGATTTGCTCCCAACAGGGGTTCATATAATTTGTATAGTTTTCCTTAAATAGGATACATATTTTATAGGGCACTGTAAGTTTTAACTTTAGCCAGCATACTCTAAAGGATTACTTCAAAGCAATATCCCTATTGCTGGATAAGATGTCTAAATCATAAGTCATGTATCATTTTAGTAAAAACTGAGGGTACATAGGCAGTGGTATACTTCCTTTTTACAGAACGGCACTAATGTAAAGCAACCCTTCCCTCTGTAAAGTACCTGAAATGTTTATAATGAGTATGGGCAAAATATTTCTTATAATGTAATTATTTAAATAAAGTTTGAAGTTACAAGTTTCTAGGAACATAAAATTTTAAGTTACTTGGAAAACTTTGGGACTTATAGCACAACTCATGTTAGGTCTCAGAAATATAGGCCACCTAAACCTTCAGGTTAGAGGAAAATATACTAGAATTACATTAATTACATTAATACTATACTCTTAAGGGTGACAAGGAAACAACATTGAATCTCTTAGAACCAAGCAGCTTCCATAATAGGCCTGTGTGGGTTGTGTGGGGTAGATCCTTTTTATTTTTTCATGCCTGTAATGCTAGCTATTCAGACGGTTGGGATCTGAGGACTATAGTTCAAGGCCAGCCTGGAAAAGTCTGTGAGACTCTGATCTACAATTAACCAGCAAAAATGTCAAAAGTGGAGCTGTGATTCAAGTGGCAGAGTACCAGTCTTGCATAAAAAACCTAAGGCACAGCATCCAAGCCCTGATTTCAAGCCCCACACAACACTGGAATTCTACCAGCTGTGGAAGGTGTCCAGGCCTGCAACTGGCTGAACAACACTCTCCACCATCCTCCCTGGGCTCCCACACCAGGTGCCAGGTTCATCCAGTGAAGGTTCCAGTGAAGGTTCATGTCCCTTTCCATTCATCCAGCAGACTCTGTTCCAAGGAGGCAGCTAAGGCCTCTTAGGGCCACTTAAACTATAGCTATATTTGGTGCTGTGACTTCCCCAGCTTTGTGCCTGTTTATTCTGTGCCCTGGCTTTTTTTTAAACAAAGCTCTTTGAAGCATTAAAACAAATTAAATCATATTTCTAGGCACCCTATGAAATTCAATCAGATTTGAAAGAATTTGGGATAGGGGAGAGGATACTGGGTAGAGCCCATGTTTAGCATAAGACCTGGGTTTGCTCCCTAACACCCATCCTGATAAAAGAAAAAAAAGAAAAAGAATATTTTGGCATTAAAACAATTACCTGAAAAGGTGAAGATGGTGCTGTTCTATGTTTGGTATTGTAAGAAGATCAGAGTCTTTTAACCACCGGCCTTGGATCACCATCTGAACCAGGTGGGTGATATTTAGAGCAGTTACCAGCCAGCCCTGGTTTGCAGCGACATCTAACATTGCCTGAATAGGGAAAATGTACCTGTTACAAACATATCACAATGAACATGTCTCCGCTGGGAATCTGATGTCAGCCTTGACAAAAACCAATCAGGCTGGGTGCTGGTGGCTAATGTCTGTAATCCTAGCTATTCAGGAAGCTGAGATCTGAGGATCACACTTCAAAGCCAGCCCAGGCAGGAAAGTCCCTGAGACTCTTTTTTTTTTATCGTGAAAATACCGTATAGAGGGGTTGCAATTACATGAGCAAGGTAATGAGTACATTTCTTATCACGCATTGTTGCCTCCTCCTTTGTTTCCCCTTACCATGCCTGGCTGCCTCCTCCCCTGCCAAAGTTGTAAAGTTTGTTTTTCGACATAGCATCTTGTACATCTCATTGTTGCAATGGGTCCACCTGTATCCCTTTTTAAACAATTTGTTTTTTCCCTTCCCTTCCACAAATTATACCAACGTCCCCAGGGTATAATCTCTGAGACTCTTATCTCCAATTAATCACCAGAAAACCGAAAGTGGCACTGTGGCTCAAGTGGTAGAGCGCTTGCCTTGAGCTGAAGAGCTGAGGGACAACACCTAGGCCCAGAGTTCAAGCCCTAAGACTGACCAAAAAAGCAACCCCAACAAACAAAAACAATCAGAGAAACCAAGTACTAGGTTTCTAAATATTCATCAAAATTGAAATTTGGTAACAAACTACAGTTGGATGAGGGAACAAATTAAATCCCCCACAGCTATTTAATGAATCTTATTTTATACAGAGAGCTAAATACTATTTTTTTTAGGGCAGCTAGATACTATTGGTACAAATAATAAAACTAATTAAAAAATTCAGTGTACTTTGAGGGCAAATGCTTACATAATTCACTGAATTTAGAGCATTAGCAGTTGCATTTAAAAAGTAAATCTCACACAATCTTTCAAATAAAAAAAATAAGCAGGTAAGTTTCTTGCCAAAAATGGATTTTCCCCAAATATCAGGCTAAAGCTGGAGCCCTGGTTCTCAAAAACAATCCCTCACACATCAGCAAAGGGGCAAATGCCAACGGCACATGTGTAATGATGGGAAGCTATTCATATTGGCCTATACATTTAATCTAGTGTTTTATGGACAAACAAAAGGCTGCATTTGCTTAAGGCAAAACTAAACAGTGGAATCTTATTTAAACAAAGGAGAAGTTTACACAGGCAAAGCTCCTTCAATTAAATTAGATTCTGGAGAATGCTGACTTAGAGGCACATAAGTTAATATCGTGAACTTAGGCTGCTATTTTATAGTTTTAGGACTGTACTCTGGTTTGGGATGTACCTAGAAAATAATTACACTGACACTTTCAAGGTACATATCTCATGGACAGTAAAATATTTATAAAACGTACAAATGGTAGATTTTCAGAAATCTGTAAAGCTATGTTAGTAAAATTAATTTGTCTACCAATTTACTACTACTAGTTAGGACTACTGAGCAAGACAATTCTAAGCATTGAGTCCTAAATTAATTTACAAAAAGTAAAATAAGCCGGGCGCTGGTGGCTCACACCTGTAATCCTAGCTACTCATGAGGCTGAGATCTGAGGATCGCGGTTCAAAGCCAGCCCGGGCAGGAGAGACCGTGAGACTCCTATCTCCAATAAACCACCAGAAA